ACTATAACAACTGGCGGTGCTTCATCACCGTGTAAAAGAAAACAAAACAGCTTCGTCGACTATCTCACCGCAGGCAATAAATTTGTAGGAAAAAAAAGTTAGTCGTTCTAAGTTTAGATTTAGGCACGTGTGCAAGCCAAGAGTACAAGTAGTCAGCTAAATTATTCCTACGTTGCCAGGTTTTTAGCCATTAACGACGCCGGCTATCATTTTTTTTTATCATGTTCTGAAAAAGCTTATAGATGTTTTTACAATTTTTTTAATTATGCACAGTATAGTGCCTCAATTAAACTTGTTTGTAAAAAAGAGAATTTTACTTTTCATCGAACACACAAAAAAAGCGTTTATCAAAAGTCTGGGAAATGGAAACCCGTGAATTTTCAGAATTTTCTATTGCATTGTGTCTTGACCTAATAGATAAATAAGATAAGAAAATTTTCTGTTTGTTGCATTGGCTGTTTCTTAAAAATCAATCATCATCAATTCCCAATGATTATTAAATAGTTATTTTATCTAATCCAAAAATGACATGTTCTGGTGAAACGATAATCATTCTAGCAGAAACAAATGATAAAATATAGGTAATCGGGATCGTACATAAAGGTACGTATATATTCGTAATGAGCACTATCCAGAAAAACTTCATTTCACTCTCAAAATCCAAATGTTTAACACCTGGCAACTGTGCGTGGAAAATGATTTTTGTTGGCAGGATGCCATGATGAGCAGACGAGGTGTGTGGGGGAGCGAGAGGGAAGGCGTCACGACGGCTGCATCGTTGACTCACGGATAGATCCTGTTGCCAGATTATTTCCTGTGGATATCTGTGTGTTGTTAGCACGAACGAATGATTTTGCTTTTTTCGCCATTTCGATTGAGGCTAATTTGCGTTTCAAGTTTTAGAAAGAAAACGATGGATGCAAATCTGAAAAAGCTATGTTTTGAAACGTGAAAAACGCCAAATAATGAAATTTTTTTTATGGCACGCCTCAGTCCCTTTCTAAGAATGCAGGAAATATTATAGATAAAGTAGATGAAACATACAATTTTCAATCTAACATCTACTCTAATGATGAAAAATCCATTGAATGTCAGATTTTTGTTCCGAACCTCCGTGAGAACATCTTTTTTGTTCAGATTATTCTTTAATGAACAATGTTTTGAACAGTGTGAAGTCTACCCGATTAAAAACTAGTTTTTGGAGAATTGTAGCTTTGAAACTCTACAAACCATTGCGAGGTGAAGGATGACCCATTACCCATTAATAGGTTAAAAGTTTAGAAAAAGGGGTTGATTTTCTTCTTTTTTTATTGTGAATGTTTTTTTATTGAAAATTGATGTAAAGCTCTGCTTTAGGTAATTATCAGCGCTTATTCATCAGGTGTATACCTACCTAAAGCAAGCGACAAATCAAATTCTTGTTTATATCATTTCACTTGATATAATTTGCTGTATACCTGGCAAAGTAGTACTGGAGATGATTTGCGCTCTTCACTGATTTTCAAATTAGGGAAAATGGCACAAAATACATAATCAACATTTACGCACCTAAAGGACAAATTCTGAGATCAGTATTTGATATAAAGTCTGCTTATTGGTGTTATTGACATAGTCGTAGAAAAAAGGTGAATGAATTGAATCACTAAAAATTTGAAGGTGGCAATCAAAGATTTATTGTTGAAAACCTAATTATAATCACTTTCAAATTATTCAATTGAACATATATCAGTTTTATGGTGTCGCCGTTTGAAATAAGTTCTATAATTTTCTATTTTAATTAAATTTTGTTTCACTTTTGTGATTTTTTTTTTAACGTAAAGGACGCCCTTGTTTCTGGGATTCATCATATATATGCTTATGAGTGAACTATTACGTTGCGAAAATATGTAAATAGGTACTGATAATGCATTTTTGAGCCACCACCAACTATTTTTATTCCTGTGATACAAATTATGTCCTCATAGTCGTAACAAGGTTAATATTCTAGTCGTCTTATACCTATTGCGGTTAGGTTAGGTTTAATATTAATCAACACAAAAATCACTAGCCGCCAGTGAAACCTACCGATCGGTAATAATTCGCCAGCTAGATTATTCTTTCAATCATAAAATTGATCAACTGCTTACAAACATACAAAAAAATTGGTTGTGAAGATGATTTTGGAATATCGAAGGTCTCGAAGAACAGTTAAAAATTGAGTTCTATAAAAATGTCTACCTATATATACATCGTGTTCAGTGAATGGGTTTGGATACAATGTCACTAGATGTCAAAAAAAAAATAGTTTGATGGTGACACTTAAGGAAATGCCCGTGATGCTTCCTCATTCGATCAAATTGATCAATAAATTATGTATGTAGACATACGGTTTTTTTCTATAAGCGATTTTCGAACACTACCTTCATTTTAAGAAATATCTACAGGGTGTCCAGATATTCGAGCGACAACGCTTGAAAGGTGACAGACCTCGCATTTCCATAAAAAATGAGATAGGAACGTGTGGCCTCAAAGTGCTCAATTTTCAAGATACAGGGTGTCAAAGTTTTACTTTTATTTTCGATTTTTGTTTTTATCAATTATTTCTCAACAAAGCGACCACAACGATCCGAAGTTATGTACGTATCGGGGGTTTTGTTGAGGCAAGAAATACAAATTCATTCACGGTTTTAATACCTATCACTAGTAGCAACTTTATTTTTTTGATTTATTTTATTTATTCTTGTGCGAACAATTATTTCCTTTTCACAATTAATTCCGTTGCACTGGAAACTTTGCTAAAGGTTGTCTCGAAAACTGTAATCTCTAGGGACTTGACAAAGAACACCTTTTTTACGTAATCGATTTTTTTGATACTCACATGGATGCACCAAAATGGACAAAAGTTTTTATAATTTAAAAAAGGTCGATATGCCGTAGTTAGCGCCCCCTACTAGTGACATAAAAACCATGAATAAATTTGTATTTCTCGCCTTAACGACCCCCCGATACGTTATTTGGGATCGCTCTGTCGTTTCATTGAGCAATAATTGACAAAAATCGAAAATAAAAGTAAAACTTTGACATCCTGTATCTTGCGAATAAAGCACTTTAAGGCTGCATGTTTCGAACTGGAATGGCGCCAGTATATGATGAAGATACACAAGGATGATACATACTACTACTACACGATGGCCTATCCTCATAAGGCTGTGTGTAACAAATCCCCCTCCCCCCTCCCATGTTAAAATACCAAATGTGACGTAGGCAGCATGTAATTTCTCGCCTTGATGTAGGCTGTTTAAACAGCTGACGACTTAGTAATGACGTATTACACCAATATGGCGGCGATTACCAAAAACGAGGCCTATAAGCACTCCTTAGAGTGTGTATTCTCCTTGGAAAACACATACCCGACCAATAAGAATGGTTCACAATTGCTCTACGCACATCTTTGATGCTTTCCTTATCTAAGCTCTCAAGAGTGACAATGATAAAATTCCCCATTCGTTATTTGAACCTTGTTCGTTTCACACGCTGTCTAACATCAAGGACAATACGCACTACTAAGGATTGCTTATCGGCCTCGTTTTTGGTAATCGCCGCCATTTGCTGTATCACCATTTCCGACGTCATTAACAAGTCGTCAGCTGTTTGCACTAGAGATCGTAGTTTAGAATTTAAATTTATGATGAGAAATATTAATTAATTTTGATTAACACAATAAGCAAAGAAGAAGATGAAAACGAGATCTAAAAAAAAGTTGTTTTAGAATGTTAATTAATGTAGTAAAACCAAGTATGCATAAAGCAAAAGCCCGCAGAATCATAACCTGTAGTGCAAACACCCTACGTCCATCCGAGAAAGGACATGCTGCCATGAAGGCTATTGCTAGTTGTAGCGAATGACGTCATATTCGGCGGGTGTTTTGGGTGTTTGAAATGCTGCTGAAATTATATTTTTTATAAAAAATCAACGACAACTCGAATGTTCCCCAAAATAGTGTTAATATACTTTGTGTTCCATAAAATTAGAAAAAAAAAATCACTAAATCACCCCATTGTGATGAATTCATTATAACTGATACCCAATGTTTTGATCAAATTAATACACAACAAGGACGAGGAGCATAATGAAGATAGTTTTGCGAATAACCGGCAATGGACCAAATTGGCGTTAAATTACATTTCCAATTTGAGAAGCTCCCTTTCTTGACGTCTATTGGGTGAAATATCTAACCCAATCCATTGCTATTATAGTAAAGTGGCAGCCTTATTTTTGCTTCTTTTTCTCTTTGACAATATTATTTGTTATACTGTTCATTTATTAACTAATCATCCTTCTTTGATAGTATTTTTTTGAACATAGATGTTCTTTTTATTTTGTACTTCACTCCTTGGTTTTAACATATTTTTTTAATAATTTGAATTTAATTATACCAAGTAGAAAGATTTTTCATCTGAAATATACAACAAAATATTGAAAACCACTTTCTTGGTTGAATATAAGTTGCATTGTTTGGTCTTACGAGGTATGTTAGAATGTTAGGTATGCTTATGTAAATGAGTAAAATCAAACAATGATTTTTTTTAACATGGAGTGTTGTAATAGAAAAAACCCTGACCACACCATTGCAGTTCCAAAAATAATGCGCGCGTCGACTACGACGGGGCGCCTGTCAAAATGCCACGAACCTCTGCTGGCTTAATATACACTTAAACTTGTGTGTATTTTGACTGGGCTTTATATTTAAAGTAGTAGTAGCATCGATAATAAAATCCTTTCCAAAAATAATTGTTTTAAAATAAATCCGCACTACGAATTTTCATTCATAATCCTCCACACCTTTACTTACGAGATGCCGTTTTAGAATTCCCGCTCTGGAAATAGACAAGACATAAACCATACCATCTGACGTCACCCGGTCCAATTTTCACGTCATCGATTTAGTTATTGATTTAACTACATAATCATAATCTTTTATTAATTTTTTGTTTTTGACATTGTTCCTCTTTTGTTTTCAGGTGCATTCGGTTTGGATTCAGACTTCTTATAGTCAGAAATAAGTAAGTTAACAATTAATTTTTTAAAAGCTTTTATAATTTTATATTCAGATAAATTGAATATCAATCAAGCTCGGACCAAAGTACCTCCAGGATAGTGATAGTGATATTTTTGATAGCATGTATTTTATAGGCCATCTACAATATGCGTCAACTTAAATGAAATAAAAGGTATGAACTTGTTGAAATGTTTCTGTTGCTGGTTCACAGCTATGTATTGATGAGGTTTATTTTTAATTTTATTACATTCAGCATAATTCCTTGAGATATCCTCAATATAATTTTCAATCCTCAGTCAATAACAAGAAACATATCCTGGGGAAATATAACTTAATTTGGTTCATATTATAATTTACTTTCTACCCACCAGGGAGTTGGGCAGCATCACGAATTGACATCGCAATACTTGTAACAATTTCAATAGCTTTCTATAAAGTAAGATCTTTGATTTCCAGTAATCGACTTCGAATATTTTCCCAACCCAATCAACTGATTTCTTATTGGTTTCTTATGGTAGTTTTCGAATTTACAAACAGTAACATATTCGTGAACAGTCGGGGAGACTCTGCTATTTTCGATGTGGAAACCTGAAGATTTCAGAAATGGTTCCGGATTGTAATGTAACTGAATTATTTCTACTGTTTCGAAAAAAATAAGATGTTTCGGACAAATTTCATCGCATAGAATATCGTAGGCATTTAGTCCCATGATGTAATGTAGCGAAGAAACGCATTTTTTACATCAGGAACGACAGGAACTTGAAAAATTGTAAACGCACGATTTGAGCGTGATTCTTGTTTCAAATCAGAGTCCGTGAACCGCAAATCATCTCTAACTAGCTCCATGCTCGATGGTTTTATTTTATGATATTCACGGAAATCAAAAATTTGAGGTATTGACATAATTTGAAGTCGTATTTTTGCAATTGCTAAATACCTGCAATTGAGATCCAAAACTACAAAGGTTTTTCAATTGTATTTGTAATAAACATCATAATCAATCAATAATAAACTATTTATTCTACCAAGCTAGCGCTCGATGAAAATTCATTATATTGTACTTACTTTATAAAAATACTTTTATTTCATTTATCAATACCATCCTATGTCGTGATAGATAGATTTATTAACATGAAATAGGATATGGACCATTAAATACACTGAAACAAAGATAAAACAGTAACAATTTAACAAACCAAATCATATAAACGTGCTTATGTGCTTAAAGTATAATGTGAAAATCCTGCAAACCATAACGTTTGGCGTAGAGCCAAAGTCTGCGCTTCTTCAAGGCTCTTATTGGTTGAAATGTTAATCTACAGTGTTTCAAGGCCCGAAAGCGGCGTCGTCCATATAAAAAGCTTTTGAAATTTAGCTTTCCATTCAACTAATTCTCTTTATAATGTTGAAAGAAATACCCAGAAAATGTAATAAATATTATTAGTAAGTTTTAAGTTTCTATCTGAAACGGTATATTGAAACTTATAAATCATAAGGCATGCGTGCTTCTGAAAAAATTAAAATTGATGTGTCCGAGAGGAAAGTGTTAATTTTAGAATAAGACGGCTAGATTTTTTTTTTATTGAGCCCATGGCAACTTTGACAGTGAATATCTTGAGAACTAATCATTCAATTTTCAAAAAAAATACGCAGTTGTGACGAGATTAAAATACCTTTAAAACAAGGTAGCACTCGACCCATCTTTCCTATCTAAAAAAGAGGGGTGAAAGTCACCCACTCAAGAGGTGCACCCTACCGAAATACCGATGGAGTGTAAAATTTTCCCCCTTGAATACAAAAATGACATGTCCGAGCGTTTTTTTTAAATCGACCTCAAAATACCCTTAAACGCCTGGTTTCGATGTTTGTGAAACACCCTGTACAAACTTGCTTACTTTTCACTTACCAAAGCAACCCTTGAAATTTGAAAGTATCTACATTAAAAAGGAAACTAGTTAAATATGTTCATTACCGTCCAACAATGAAAAAACGTCATACCGTAGAAAACTTCAAGGAAATGCTGTAAGATTTGAATGGTTCCAATAATGAAACTAGATAAAACAGAAATAATGAGGTCCTAACGAATTCAAATCACCAATGAATAGCAAAGTGGACATGCATATCTAGGAGTTCTAGGACAACAGATATCTAAGGACGTAGCTAGTTCATTTTCAACTAAACAGTAAGCCTTTCTATAATAACTCAACTTTCTGCCTGAGTAAATATCTAATTCTGGAAAAATAAATAAAAAATATCAGAATCAATTAATGCTAGACCGATTTGAGATTCTCGACGAACAGCTGCTAATTTTTTACTGATGTCGCCATTTTCGATAGCATTGGCGGATTTTCTCATGGTCACCCGCTGTATGATGTGCCCTCCAAGGCAAATTTTCGACAGCTGCAAGCTGCTGCACCAAATTGTTTTCATATTTGCGTGAAACAAGGCATTTAAATTATTGAGAGGTTCAACACTGTTGCTGCAATACGTGCGCCGCTTGCCTTCACCCCCAGCCTACTGAAATTTGAGAAATGCCAAGCACAATGAACTTAATAAAATTATATTTTTTTCTGAATAGAATTTTTTGTTGGCTGCCGACAAATTCAGCTTCGTTTTCTCCTAAATCATTCAAATCGGAGCTTGTTGTCTTATGAAAACGTGAAGAATTGAACAATTTCCAACTGTGTAATATTCAAAACATTGTGGCTGTAACAGTTGCTCCCGAACGCCAGCTTTTATCTGGGTTTCGGAAACATGTTTATGTTGCCTTGTGTCACAGAAACGTGAACTAATTAGAGACAATAATTGTATTCACGTTTACCATTTTACGTACAGTGCACATGGACAACAAGGAACACGTTTTTTTTAAATAATAACTAAACGTTTTCTCAGAATAAATTTGGGGTTGATATTGTTATTATCGTGTTCACGTTTAAAAATGTTCGCTTTAGAAGATGTCCAGGATATAGAAAAAATTATTGTATGGTTTGATTCAATAATGAAACTTTCGAGAACCTCTTCTTCTTCTAAAATTTCCTATCCCCTTCGGATGTTGGCTATCGTGCATGCTATTCTGACTTTATTTACTGATGCCTGAAATAAGATCACTGGTGTCCATAACAAACCAGGCTCTGAGGTTTTTTAACCATGAAATTCTTCCTCAACCAACACTTTTCCTTGCAAGATAGACTATAATAAATGAAATCTGCACTTGCGTTTCTCATCATTATGTGTCCCAAGTACACTGAAAAAAGAGTTTATTTAATTGTAATAAAAATGGAGTTTATTCAACAACATATTTGTTTCCTATATGCGAAACAAATGTTTATTTGAAAATTCGTCAATATTTATTTAACCTCTTGCTGGAACTTTTACTTTGACTAAACAAATAATTATTTAATTGAAATGAACAGGTTTTTGGAGCAATGGCATGATTTATTTAATTGAAATAACTTTTTTTTACATAACTAGCATTAATTTTGAAATAAATACCTTATTTATTTGATTTGAATTAAAAGAAATATAGCTGAATAAACGCAGTTTTCTAACAAATTCATGATTTATTTGGGTGAAATATTCTTTGCTTAACGCAACAAGCCGACTTATTAGATTTAAATTAATATTTATTAATTCTGAACATCCACATCCCCTGGTGTTTTTGCATGCACACAATATATTGCTTCTCGAGTCTTAGCTATGGATGGCTTCCACTGTTTCTTGTTTTTTAATCTAGTTCTTGCCTTGGATGGAAGGAGACTCGACAAGAGGCATAGTTTTAGAGAGTCGATATCTGGAAAAAAAATCCTAATTATAGTATTGGGATTTCAAATTAAGATCGTAGCGCCGCGGTGGCGAATAGCTCAACTACTTTGTAGTACATTGATTCATAACCTCACTTTTGTTTTTAACTTAATTTGCATATGATTTACATTAGCTTGAATGTTTGTCTTGTGTTTATGGGCTTTATGGCTCTTGATGCAGGCCAAAATTCAATATAATCTATTTCACTTACCTGACCCGAAATGGTCATATCCATACAACAGCCTAAACGGTTCTTTTTCGGAAAATTTTCCACAATAGGACATTGCCAAAAGGGTCAAGGCAGATATGTCCCTTATAATGTCTGTATTTGAATAACTTGTATGTGCAATAAATAAATAAATATTTCATAAATAACTCTTTATTTTTATTTATAAATAGGTGAATATTGAATTAACAAAGTCAAATAACTTGAACAAAAACCTGCCTATAATACTGTTAATTAGAAGTTTATAAACACTTGACACTTTCTGCTGTTTGCTCGTCCATTTGTATGTTTGTCTCAAAAGAGTTTAATAATTGATTACAAGTATCACTAAATTTATTACTTGCACTGCTCTCACTAGAATCTTGATTTCTTTTTCTTTTGGCAAATCTTTCAGCACACAAGGAATCTGTTTTTTGGCTGGGTTTATGGATCACTGTAGAATAGGGCAAATTCTGGGATGGTACAGCTGTTTTTTTCAATATCCGACCTCTACCTGTACCTCCCACCTGTAAATAATAAAAACAGTCAATATTTTCAAACAAAACATTTCAAAAATAGATAATAGGTTCTTAATTAATGCCTAGGAGCAGTCCTAAAAGGAAACTAGGACACAAAAATATCCATTATGTTTGTTTACCTTAACACAAACTTCTTGCTTGAAATGCAGAGAAATACACTTTCCTGAATTTGGTGACTGGTTTGCCAATACGAAGTTTTAAAATCCAGGCTTTTCTTCTCCATTCTAACTATTTTCCCATCTTCATTTCCAAATAAACCCGGCCTGTTTCAAGGGGAAATATGTGGAAAACTCAACCCTTTGTCAGCATCTTTTTTGGCCCAAAACTTGCACTGAAGAACACAACAGTAGTGAATTGAGGTCATAATTGAATGTATCTGATATAATTTAGACTTAATAATTCACCAACATGCTTTAAAAACTCAAAAACACCTCGAAAATATTCACACATATACAATGA